GGTGGGTGTGGCTTGGTGGGTGTGGCTTGGCTTGGTGGGCATGGCAGGGGAAGGATACTGTAAAATCTCCATCCCACCCGATCAGCTGGGACTTGGGAGGCAGAGAATAGATGGGAGTGGGGCCATTCAGAAGTGGTATTTACTGGTTCTCCAAACTACTCAAAATTTCCGCTACCAGTTCTCCAGAACTGATCAGAACCTGTTGAATACTACCTCTGGCACCACCCCAAAGCAACTGGAGCATCACTGGAACCCCATCGGCATTGACAGATCCCCATCAGTTAATTGCAGAAGGCAGTTTTACTTGGAACATCTCATATCCTGTCATTATATCTTCAACACATCAACATCTCCTTCTCCCAGATCCTTGGGAAGGACTCAATAAGTGAATAAAAATGTCATTTTGATCTTTTTATTTCAGTCAATTAAAACAGCACAGAAATAATTCAAACACTGAAAGCACTCTCCTTCAACCATTTATTTTCCCAGCCACCTATGTTTTGTGAGCAAATACCTTTGCTATTTCCTTGAGATTCTGCTAATATTAACTTATCCAAATATATCTACCAAAGTGAGTTGGCTAATTGCTCCAGTCAATAGTATTTGGCTTGCATCACTGGTGACTTGGCCTTTCTACTTAATAGGTTGCTCTGGGTATGGCTGGATTTGATCAGAGTCTTCCCAGTCCCAATCCAGCACCTTTACCCTTACATCATCATGGCTGTAGATGGCTGAAAGGGATGCAAGAATTTTCCAAACCAATCTTATTCTCCTGAACCTTCAGAAGCCACGCAAAATCATTTTTCCATATCCCCCCTCCTCCGGGGCAGGGGTAAAAGACCTCTGAATCTCATTGAGAAATTTGGTTACCCTGCAGTGGTGAGATTCAAAAATCTTTACTACCAGTTCTGTGGGCGTGACTTTGTGGGTATGGTGTGGCTTTGTGGGCATGGCAGGGGAATCCCCATTCCCTCCCCACCCCACTAGCCTGCTTTCCAGCTCCATTCTCCTGTTCAGGGCAACAAAAGAAGATCAGCTGGGAGGCATCGGGGGTGTGGCCAGCCTATTTGCCGGTTCTCCGATCTACTCAAAATATCTGCTACTGGTTCTCCAGAATCTGTCAGAACTGGCTGAATACCACCTCTGTTACCCTGCTTCCCCTCAACATGACACCCCCCTTTTGTTTTATATGGGGAAGAATGTCTTATTCCAAAAGTGCTGTGGGAAACACCCTTGCAGCCCCAAGGATAAAAGGGCAGAATCTCAAGTCAGACTCAACTTCAGATGACTGCGTAGACCAGAGGTCTTCAAACTTGGCAACTTCTTGTGGACTTCAATTCCCAGAATTCTCCAGCCAGCTGGCTGGAGAATTCTGGGAGTTGAAGTCCACAAGTCTTAAAGTTGCCAAGTTGGGTACCCCTTGTATAGACTCATTTATGTCATTTTTATGGCACCACTACAATTAACTATTACCATCTTCTGACATCTTTCTTTTGAGCCCCTCAGACTAGTTTGCTATCCAGAGATTTTGGGGTAGGGTGTGTGTGTGTGGGGGGGGGGGAAGTGGGTCCCATTCAAACTTTAGCCAGGTTCAACTTTTTCTACTTCTTTGAGATGAGCCAATATTAGTGTTTCCATCTAGTTGGGCAAAGGCAAGATCTTCTCCAAGCCTAGCTAAATTTGAAGTTGAGAGCTACTATGGGGAAACACTGGATTGTTTTTGAGAAAGGCTAGGTTCAATCATATTCTCAGTTCACTAGATGACTTTGGGCTAATCATTCTTCATCAGTGGTGTTGCTCTGGACAAAAATGAGAGGAGATAACATGATATCTACCATCTTAAATTATAAACAAAGATTAACAGATTAACAGAGTTGGAAGGGACCTTATAGGTCATCTAGTCCAGTGGTGAAATTCATTTTTTTCACTACTGGTTCTGTGGGCGTGGCTTGGTGGGCATGGCCGAGGAAGGATACTGCAAAATCTCCATTCTCACCCCACTCTGGGGCCAGCCAGAGGTAGTATTTTCCGGTTCTCCGAAGTACTCAAAATTTCCACTACCGGTTCTCCAGAATCTGTCATAACCTGCTGAATTTCAGCCCTGATCTAGTCCACCGCATCCAATCAAGCAGGAGACCCTACCATTTCTGAGAAACAAACAAACAATTTTTTTTTAAAAAACTAGTAACTTTGTTACTATATCTGTAAAGGTAATGCTCAATTTACAACCATTCATTTAGCAACTGTTCAAAAATATAATAGCACTGAAAAAAGTGACTTACGACTCGTCCTCACTCTTACAACCTTTGCAACATCCCAATGGTCAAGTGATTAAAATTCAAGTCCTTGGCAAGTGGCATGTACTTAAAAGAGTTGTGGCATCCTTGAGTCATGTTACCACCATTTGTGACCTTCCCAGCCAGCTTCTGACAATCAAAGTCGAATAAGGGATGCCAGATTCATTTAGCTACTATGTGATTGGCTTAATGATCGTGGGGAAAAGATTGTAAAATTTGGTGTGACTCACTTAACAGCTAACTTGCTTAACTACAGAAATTCTGGTCCCAATTATGGTCATGAGTCAAGAACTACCTGGACAGTTTTCTTGCTAGCAATATGGAGATTAATTGCCATTGTCTTCTCCATTGCTTTGTTGGCTTCCTAATGTTTGTTTGTTTGTTTGTTTGTTTTAATTTGTCAACAAGTACAAGGAAACAAGTAGAAAAAACACATGAAAAAATGGCACAAATAAATGGATATAAATAAGCAAAACATAGCCATAAACACATTCAAAGAGTGCATATAAATCGGACAGTAGGTCAGGGATGGTAGGCACTTATGCACGCCCCCTTAGGGACCTCTTAAGAAATGTGTATGATCCACGGTAGACAGCTTAAGGTAAAAGGTAGGGGGTTAGAGGAACTAACAACAGGCTCTGGTAGTGGGTTCTACACATTTACTACTCTATTGCTGAAATTGTTTTTCCTGCAATCAAGATTAGAACAGATTACACTTAGTGTGTATCTATTGATGGCCCTGTGTTATTGCAGTTGAAGTAAAACTTGTCTTTAATAGGTAGGACGTTATGGCAGATTATCTTGTGTACTAAGCTCAGGTTGGAACGTCAAGGTTATCCAGGCCTAAAATTTCAAGCCTGGTGGTATACAGAATTTTATTACAAGCGGAGGAGTTCAGTACTCTTCTTGTAAAATACCTCTGGACCCGCTCTAATGTTTTAATGTAGCCTTCAGTCCTGGATTTTTCTAGTGGTGGCCTTTTATACAAGTCTTAATCAGGTCTGATAGATAGAAGCTTTTGGCGTTCATCCAAGATCAACTTTGCTGCCACTTATCTTGGCCATTCTCTATAGATCCCCCCCAAAAGTAAGACAAAAAGTCTTGTTACATTATGAACCATTGAAACTATTAAGCTTCCAGGTTACATCTCTCTTCCTCTCTGCTCCAGAAATGGACATTCTTATTCCATATTCCCATCCTATCTGCCAAGAAATAGCCAAAGTCATTATGTGCTTCTGCTACATTTTCAGTTCAAGGCTGTGATTTCAGCACAAACCATGGGACAAAATCAGCTCAATTCAGTTCAATGATTAAGGTGCTGACCTAGAAAACAGGAGAGTGTGATTTCTAGTCTCACTTTAGGCATGAAGGCCAGTTGGGTAACATTAATCCAATCACGCAGAGACTGTGGTTTGTAATCCCACTTTAGGCATGAAAGCTAACTGGTTGACTTTTGGCCAGTGATTCTCTCTCAGCCTGACCTACATCACATGGCTGTTGTTGTGAGGAAAATAGGAGGAAGAAGTATCTGGTATGTTCAGTGCCTTGAGTGAGAAAAAAAGGTCAGGTAAAAATCAGACAGACAGACAGACAGACAGACAAACAGATAGATAGATCTGTCTTTGATCTTAGAATAGAATGAGCTGGAAGGATCTTGGAGATCTTCTAATCCAGCCCTCTACTCAAGCAGGAGAACCTATACCATTTTAGATAAATGTGGGTCGGGACCCCTTGGGGGTCGAACAACTCTTTCACAGGGGTCGCCTAAGACCATTGCAAAACACATATTTTTGATGGTCTTAGGAACCGAGACACCAATTTTATCATTGGGGGGTCACCACAACATGAGGAACTGTATTAAAGGGTCACGGCATTGGGAAGGTTGAAAACCACTGGTCTAGACTCTTCTTAAAAACATTCAGTGATGAAGCACCCACAATTTTTTCAGGCAAGCTGTTCCACTGGTTAATTGTCCTCACTATTAGGAAGTTTCTCCTTAATTCCAGGTTACTTTTATTCTGATTAGTTTCCAACCATTGTGTCACGTTCCGGCGTTCACATTGCATACAAACAGAGATTCAGTTTGTTTGGTGAAAAATGTTTATCTCTATCTAAGAAACTACATGATAACCAGCACTAAATGACAATGATGCAAAGGTAATCAAATCCAAGTCCAAGAGTTACATCAGAGTAGGCAGTTGCACCCGAGTAGTAGAAGAAGCCACATGCAGCTACAGGCTCAATCGACATCAGAGAGGCAACATCAATGTGGTAGCGTTAGTGGCATGTAAGCATGGCCGAGCGGGCATGGTGATTGACAGGTTCCCCCTGGATGGCAGTCTGAGGGCTGACATGCCACCCCCCCTACCAGTGGAGATGATTCTGGAAGACCAAAAGCGCTATTAGCAGTATCCTCTATAGGTTTATCAGGGTATCGATGATGGAACTGGGCGATCAGGCGTGGTGCGCGCACCTCAGTTGACATCACCCATGATGCATCTGTACAAGGATATCTCTTCCAAACTACTAAATACTGTAAAGTGCCATGATGACGACGGGAATCTACTATCTGTTCAATTTCATACTGCCATTCACCATCAACCTGCACCGGAGACGATGGTGTTGGAAGATTATGTAACCCAGTGGTGATCACCGGTTTGAGTAAACTGCTGTGAAATACCAGGTGGGTTTTCCCCAACATGGGAGGCAGCTTTAATTCTACCGTGACCAGATTAATTACTCTGATGATTGGAAATGGACCCATGAACTTGGGACCCAGCTTATGGCAGGGCACTTTAAGGTGTATATACTTGGTAGATAAAAATACCTTATCCCTGACCTGAAACGTTGGTTGTGGACTGCATTTCTTGTTGGCATGTCTCTTATACATGTCTGCTGCAACCTGCAATGCTTTTCGGACATTTTCCCACACTGGATACATGTAGTCTATTCATTCCTTTATAGTTCCGTTATCAGCAATGGCTTGAGGACTTTCAGGTATAGCCATGAAATCAAACCTATTCACAATACGGTAGGGGGTATACCCAGTACTACTATATACTGCATTGTTATGTGCAACTTCAACAAATGGCAGTAGACACACCCAGTCAGTTTGCTGGTAATGCACATACATTGGAGATACCGTTCCACTGCAGCATTAGTTCTCTCTGCTGTGCCATTGGTAGCCGGATGGAACGCAGAACTCAAACCCTGAGAGGACCCCACCCTCTTCAGGAAACTGTGCCAAAATTGAGCAGTAAACTGTACCCCACAATCTGAAAATATACATTTAGGGATACCATGCAAACGGTAAATAGGTACTAGGAATAGTTTGCCCAATTTTTTAGCTGACGGAAGCCCTGGACAGGCAATGAAATGAGCCTGTTTTGAGAACAAATCAACTACTGTCCAGATAATGGTATTTCCCCTACTCTCCGGCAGCTCCACAATGAGATCCATTGCTATGTCTTCCCAAGGCCGAGTGGGCTTTGCTACTTGTTGTAACAAGCCAGGTGGCTTTCCTGGCCAGCTTTTCATAGTTGCACAAATGTTATAACCCTGAACATATTCCTCAATATCCCGCTTCATCTTTGGCCACCAAAACTGCCAATTCGTCAAATGCAGTGTTTTCAGAAATCCATAATGTCCTGCTCCCCATGCATCATGACAATGCTGTAAAACTGCTTTCTGTTGTTCTGTTGGAACATATATTAAGGGCCCTTAGCCCCTCCCGCCAAAACTACAGGAAAAAGAATGTTGGTCCTTACCTGAACGTTTCTTTTCTGTAGTGAGGCGGTATTGGCTTCATCTCACCCATGGCATTGATCATAAAGGTTCGGGGTGGTCGGGAGTCTGTGTGTGTGTTGTGGCTTTCCTTACATAATACTTACAGCTTTTCCATTCGACCTCGTGAAACTGGGAGCCTAGAGGGAAAGGAGGATACTTAAGAAAAATCCTTCACTCTTTGGACCAATCAGGTTGTGACTAAATCCAGCTGTAGCCCCTCCCACCTCACTGCAGAAAAGAAACATTCAAGTAAGGACCAACG